AACCGTTCAACTTCAGCTTCTTCAGCGTTACTGGTCGGGGCATAGACTTGGATTACTGTGATACTGGATGGTTTTCCTTGGAAACAAACAGATCCTTCTGTCCTTTTTGAGACTGCATCCGAGTACTGCATTTCAGACTCTTGTTGACTATGATGGCTACTCCATTTCTTCTAAGGGATTCCTGCCCACAGTAGTAGATATAATGGTCATCTGAGTTAAATTCACCCATTCCAGTCCATCTTAGTTCACTGATTCCTAGAATGTCGACGTTCACTCTTGCCATCTCCTGTTTAACCACTTCCAATTTGCCTTGACTCATGGACCTAACATTCCAGGTCCCTATGCAATATTGCTCTTTACAGCATCGGACCTTGCTTCTACCACCAGTCACATCTGCAACTGGGTGCTGTTTTTGCTTTGGCTCTATCCCTTCATTCTTTCTGGAGTTATTTCTCCACTGATTCTCCACTGTCCCCCAAAAAGGGACATTGTAAGCCTAACACCCAGGACTCCAGAATGTGCCCTCATTTACAAACAGGTTCACTACTGATGTAACCAGCTATGAGGAGGTGGATAGGCCTCTAACACAATACCGCTGGTGTCCTGATGAGAGAGGACAGATAAGCACAGGGAGACGGCCCCATGAATGTGACAGCAGAAATGGGGGTGGCGTGTCTGCACAGCGAGGGGCGTGCAGGGCAGCCGGCAGCCACGAGAAGCTGCAGAGAGGCCAGGACTCTCCGTCCCACCTCAGAAGGAGCCAATCCCGAGACACCCTCAGCTCAGACTCGTCTCCAGAGCCGGGGACGATGCACGTCCACTGTTCTGAACTGCCACATTTGGGGGACTTTGTTACAGCAGCCCTGGGAACTAAGAGGAATTTATAATAAGCATCTGAAACATAATGAAGTTGTGTCTTTTCTTAACAGAGAGAGGCCTACTGCACAGCACCATGGCAGTCACCAAGTGCCCTTGGGTGAATGTCAGGATTAACACACTTTAAGTTGAACTACAGCAAGACTGTGAGAAAGCTTTAATGGATGATTCAGCTTCTCTAGTACACTTACACATTCAAGATTTTAATCATTTCTAGATTAACAGAAAATTAGCATCATAGAGAAGTTTCACAGAGAAATTACTGTTTTTCCAGTTGAAAACTCAATTATCATTAATTCCAGGTCTTAAAAGCCTGGGAGGGAGGGAGGTGGACAAAAACTTGCTCTTCTAAACTAAAGGCTTAATCTGCACTGTTCCTAAGAGAGAAACATAAAGGTCGCAGCAATACCCCAGTTCTGCGACACTCAGAGCATCTGTCCAGCTTTAACCCTCTTCTGCACCATGCCTCCCCTCCCCTCCCCCACTCCCGTGTCTCTGCCACTCCTGCACTGGGGGGCGGGTTCTTCCCACTGAGCCACCTGGGAAGGCACATCAACATAAGGCTGGGCTTATCCCAGAATTCCGAAAACAAGGAACAAATTAAGAAATGTCATTTATTCAGAACTTGAGACTAAAAAAAAAAAATCTCAACAAAAATTAGCTTTAAAACACCTGAAAACAATTATGAACAGAAAGGATAACTTTGATGCTCCATTTAATGTGACGATTAAAACTGCTTAATGTTAAAAACCAACAAACCATCTAATAACTTATTCAGTTTTTTCATCTGAATGGTAAAAACCTTTGTGGAGCGTAACAAGTCTATTTTAATTTTTGGTATTTTTTTCAGACAACTAGCACCATGCTTGGTACAACAAAACAGTTTACAATTAAACAACTTATTACAGATACGTTGGAAATGTTAATACACGTTGAAAATGTCTGAGTAAAGAAACACCTTCCCATCCAATATTTATGCACCTTGTATTCCACCTCCACTATCCACCCTTCCCTGTCTTACAACATAACAAAAACAGGAACGTAACTTTTATTTCTACTAAATTAGTTCAAAACCTTAGATTTTGCTATGTATATTAACAGGTTTACAAGAGTAGTAAGTACAAATTAGTTACCCATGTAACTGATTTTTTAAAGTTTATTTCTGATATGACTATAGCTTCTCTGAAAATAGCCAAAAGTTTCTGAGTGAGCAATTAATACCTATGCTTCAGCGCAGGCAGAGCAGCTCTTCCTGCAGGGCGCCCAGGGCACCGGCTCCTCACGGCTGGGGCAGCACTCCCAGATGAAGGTGCCACCACCTACGGTGTGAAGGGCTCCCCCTGGAGCCCAGATGCGGACCAGCCCAGACCAGAGGCAGCCTGGGATCTGGGTTGTTAGGGTGTGGAGGATGCTGGGCTACGCCAGGGTCCTGGGCGCCAGCTGCATGCACAGGGCGGAGCAGGAAGGCGGGGCGGGAGAGGGACAGGCTCCTCTCTCAGGCTGGAAGCAGGCAACACGGGGACAGCACAGGCTCCTTGTGAAAGCGACTCAGAGACACGAGCAGGAGGGAGAGGGGAAAGCACCTTCCAAGAAACTGAGCAAGTGCTCTGGGCTCAGGAGGACAATCACGATATAGGAGGGGCTAACTTGCAGCCTGCAACTCCAGCGTCTGGGCGGACAGACTCTCCCGACGCTCCTCAGAGCACACGAGACCCTGCTCGGAGCAGAGGAAGGGGGAGGCCTGGGGCCCCAAGGCCGCGACCAGCACACAAGGTGAAGCGTGAGAGGGGCTCTGGTTCTACGTATCAACTTCCTCCAAACGTCTCAGCTTCTCTAAAACTCACCACACCAACACGATTTTAAAATGTGACACTATGAAATATACTTTTCAAAAAGCACAAGAAGCTGATTTAAGACATCAAAAAAAATTGCAATTAATACTTTCAGTTATTTTTCTTAAGGTCTGTCTCACCTCTGCCATTTGATCATAAACTGCTTAAGGGAGGACCCATGTTAAAATGTCTTGCTCTCAGCACTCAACACTAAAACTTTCACTATGTAAATGTTCAAACATACTCCAATACATTTTAAAACATCTTCTCATGTAGCAGTGCATAAAGAACAGTGTGAACAAATATAACAGGAGCTTACCATGGAAACCACTAGAACTAAAGCCAGCTAACATAGCAAACACAATTTTTCAAAATCCTTCAATTTTGGAAGTCTTGAACTTAGTGAAAAAAATCTATACATAAACTAAGACTCAACAAGGACTAGTGATTCTCAGAAGTGAATGTTAAATAACTTGATTTTACTCTAAATAAGTTTAAGAACTACACTGGCAACTAATAATTCTCCTAAGAACTCTAATATTTAAATATTATAAGCAGCGCATCTACCAACTTACTCGAAGTCTGAGACCTTTTGGGGAGGAAAAAAAGCAGCCACGGCAGTGACACGGAGGGCCCCAAGCCCACTGCGGGCTGGTACCTGGAGAGCCAGGGCTCGGAGAGAGGCTAGCGGGCGCGCAGGGCTGGCAGCTCCCGCACGAGCACAAGCGTCCTGAAGGACGGCAGGGCTGGCAGCTCCCGCACGGGCACACGCGTCCTGAAGGACGGCAGGGCTGGCAGCTCCCGCACGAGCACAAGCGTCCTGAAGGACAGCGGGGCTGGCAGCTGTCCCGCACGAGCACAAGCGTCCTGAAGGACGGCGGGGCTGGCAGCTGTCCCGCACGGGCACAGGCGTCCTGAAGGACGGCGGGGCTGGCAGCTGTCCCGCACGGGCACAGGCGTCCTGAAGGACGGCGGGGCTGGCAGCTGTCCCGCACGAGCACAGGCGTCCTGAAGGACGGCGGGGCTGGCAGCTGTCCCGCACGAGCACAGGCGTCCTGAAGGACGGCGGGGCTGGCAGCTGTCCCGCACGAGCACACGCGTCCTGAAGGACGGCGGGGCTGGCAGCTGTCCCGCACGAGCACACGCGTCCTGAAGGACGGCGGGGCTGGCAGCTGTCCCGCACGAGCACACGCGTCCTGAAGGACGGCGGGGCTGGCAGCTGTCCCGCACGAGCACAGGCGTCCTGAAGGACGGCGGGGCTGGCAGCTGTCCCGCACGAGCACAGGCGTCCTGAAGGACGGCGGGGCTGGCAGCTGTCCCGCACGAGCACAGGCGTCCTGAAGGACGGCGGGGCTGGCAGCTGTCCCGCACGAGCACACGCGTCCTGAAGGACGGCGGGGCTGGCAGCTGTCCCGCACGGGCACACGCGTCCTGAAGGACGGCGGGGCTGGCAGCTGTCCCGCACGGGCACACGCGTCCTGAAGGACGGCGGGGCTGGCAGCTGTCCCGCACGAGCACAGGCGTCCTGAAGGACGGCGGGGCTGGCAGCTGTCCCGCACGAGCACACGCGTCCTGAAGGACGGCGGGGCTGGCAGCTGTCCCGCACGAGCACACGCGTCCTGAAGGACGGCGGGGCTGGCAGCTGTCCCGCACGAGCACAGGCGTCCTGAAGGACGGCGGGGCTGGCAGCTGTCCCGCACGAGCACACGCGTCCTGAAGGACGGCGGGGCTGGCAGCTGTCCCGCACGAGCACAGGCGTCCTGAAGGACGGCAGGGCTGGCAGCTGTCCCGCACGAGCACACGCGTCCTGAAGGACGGCGGGGCTGGCAGCTGTCCCGCACGAGCACAAGCGTCCTGAAGGACAGCAGGGCTGGCCTTTCCGTTGCCAACTAGAGCTTATCCAAAAGGTAGTCTGATGCTCTATTTACCTCAGATAAAAATCGTCAGGTTAAGAATACATAGGTGAGCATCCACTTAAGAGGAGAGTAAAGTAAGAGGAAGGTATTTTCAACTTCTTCTGTTGCCAACAAATCAAGGAATTTTCAAAGCAAAACTGAGAGTAGAGTTTTAAAATACAACAATATGATTTTCACCTATGTAGAAAGTTAAGTCAAACTACTTTTTCTTTTATGTCACCATGACTTTGGCACATTCTGCTCATAGACAAAGAAAGTGGTATTTCAGAAGGAAACATAACCCTGGGCCAAGGGGAACTGGGTCCCCGGGGAGGCCCGCAGGGGGCTGGCGGTATGCCCGCCCAGCCGCCCTCCTCCTCACCCTCCCGCGTGTTACCTTGGCACCAGACTGCTGCCCGCTTGTCTTCTTCTTACCTTGTCCTTTATACCTTGGTATCTGAGCATGAGAATAAAATGACATTTTACCACAAAACAGAAATCTTTAAAAGTAAACTAATTCATACCAAACTAAAAAAGATTCCTATCAGAAAATGTCTTAAAAATGGAAAATCTCATTAACATATTCTTCTTTGAAACAGTTTTTTGCCTTTTCTTGACACTCTTCCTAAACTCACGCTGCAGTTCATGTCCAGCAGTCACGGGGTCACACACAGGGCCCGCAACCTCACCCCACCTGGCTCCCTGTGTGAGACTCACTCCGTCCCACTCTGGCCAGTGACACCCCAAGAAAGCCAGCCTTCCATCCTCGCAGCTTCCTTTAGGAACCACCTTTCTCGGGGGGATGCAGAGCAAGCGCGTCCAGGCTGGGCTGAACCTTGGGCCTGGCCACAGCTTCCTGGGACTCCTAGAGCTCTCCAGGCTGATGAGGTGCCCTTCTTAGAGCCCCAGACACTCGGAGACCTCAGAGAGAGAAGGAAGCTGGCCAGAAAGGGGTGGGCAAAGTACTGCGACCCCAAATCAAGATCCTGTAGGACTAGAGAGGAACCGCATTTTAATTGCCAACAGAATGCCTTGTCTTCAAATAGCCCCACCCAGCCCCACTAGAGATGAGCTATGGTGTCCGAAGTGCCCACTGCCCCCACAGGCCTAGGTGCTGAGGGAGAGCTCAGGCAAAGCTGAAGACCATCAGAAGGTGGATGGGGATCACCTGGTAATCAAGTGTCTCCAGGTTCACCTTAAAAATTACCATCACTTCTCATTTCCTGACTTAAAACTTAAGAGTCTCATGATCATTCTCATGATACAGCTTAAAACATTTTTATGTAGAGAGAATAGAAATACACAATACATACAACAAACATTAATATATCATACTGAAGACATATAATATGTGGAAAGTCCGTATTGCTAACATGCTTTAAGAAATAATATCTAAAAAGAGAACTTCCAAATAACTCACTGTTACAGATACTAATAAGTATTTTGGAATATGCATTAATTTTAACCCCACTAAAGCCAGATATTCCCACAGAAAGCAAAGCTTTCTCTCCCTGTGGCTCTGTGTGGCACCTAACCTGAAGAAAGCATCAGACTCACAACCTCGCTCTCCCTGCACAGCAGTTCCAGCCTGACGAGCATTGTGGGAGAAGCCTTCCTAGACAACACCTGCCCCTCGCCCCAGGAAAGGCTAACTGGACCTCAGGGAACAGGACACCTACCACCAGCATGATGGCCTCATTCCTGGTTAGGAATAATGTACAACATTCCTCGGACTCCCAAATTTAAAAAATAAAAAGGAGCCACGAAATCAAAGAACCAGCAACAAACAACTGGAACCATTCACTGGTATCTACTCCCAGGCATCCGGAAAAGAAAGGAATCGAGCAGTGTGACTGCTGCTCTCGAGAAGCGCACCTGATTCAGAAAGGCACCGCTGGACACGGCACCAGGGCCGTCGGGGAGGACGTGCTCCACCAGAGGCACGCACACAGCACTGCAGACCCACGCCCCGCAGGGCAGGACCGGCAGGTTCGCCCACCACATGGACGGAGCGCCACCCAGGGCAGGGGAGGACGCCCTTCCTGACGGTCACCCTTCCATCCACCCCACTAGGACGGGCAGCCCTGAGTCTAAACTCCAGCAGGGGTCCCACTCCGTTTCTTCTCCATTACCCAAATCCCTGAAGTCAGAAGGCCTTAACTTCAACAGCTCACACACACACACACACACACGCACAACTCATAGACACACACAACTCACACACATGCACACACTGAGACACACACCTTCATACACATGCACGCACGCAGATACACAACTCATACATACACACGTGTGCGGACACACACACGACACACACACAACTCATACACACATGCACGTATAGACAACACACAACTCACACACCCTCATACATACACACGTGCAGAGACGCACACACACATGCAGAGAGACACACACAACTCACACGCATACGCATGCACACCCACACAAAGATAACCAGAGTACATAAACGTTCTCGTAAATTCTCAAAATAGGTGATCAATATAAAAAATCATAATAATGTACAATTCCAAATCTGAGCACCTGTCTATACTATTTAACACAACAATTTTATATTCTGGAACTTAATATTCTGAAATTATAGGAATTTAAAAGTGAAAAATAAGTAAACTTCCTTTGTCAATTGGACCAAATGTTCAAAGTATGAAATGAATCCAAATATCCTACAATTCTGTTATTTAACAGCATGTTTCTTTCTATGGTACAATAATCAAAACACTATCAACAAAGCAAAAGAATTAATTTAAAAAAATTTTTCATTAGAAAAAGTAAATTCAGTATTTTAAAAATGCATAGTACTAAGACACAAATCTCATATGGCTCAGCATATAAATCACTGATGAAACAATTTAAGAACATATTCACATGGCATTTTAAAAAACCTACTGACTTGTGTAATGGTCCCAAAGGAGCTTATTAAAGTTTCAGAAGATTCTCATAAATAAAGATTTCAACAAAGGATAAAAAGCACTTTCAACAACAATGACACGGCACTAAGACTAGAGACGGGAGCCCTGGCCCACTCACCTTACTGGGAGGAGTGTGTGCATCTGTTTTTCCTTCTGGTGACTTTGGTGGAGAATGTATATCAGACAGGTCCAGTGCACCCTGAAATATTACATGGTTGAAAATTAAGACACATTTAAAAACAAAGCATGAAATACTAGTTGTACCTCAATAGAATTTAAAACCACTACACAATGTTGCCATTTTTATTTCTTCCTATTAATATAAATATCCTTAGATTTTCTCCAAATTGTACCAAAACCACAAATAAACAGACTTAGGATTCTAATTACCTGCTGAGTATTTCCCTCAAGCACCTGGACAGGCTCCTCAGGCCACATGTATTAATAAATACGCCCCTAGCGTTCTTTCCAAGTGAACCTTCTCACTTTGCTTTCCCTGCTCTCCACAAAAACACGGTCCTCTGATTCTCAAAGATCGTCTCTTTCTTCCCTCCCTGGACTTACTTCTTTACTTCATTTGGTCTCAAAACAAACAAACGAACAAAGTCATAAAAACAAGTAACTATTTCAAGAATGCAGGACGAGGCACCCAGCTACAGGGGCTGCCAGGAGTGAGAGAGGAGGAGAGAAGGTGGCCCGCAACACTGCACAGCTGGGTGGGGGAGAGGACCGCCGTTTCAGGTGGAAGAGAGAAGAGGAAAAGGACAAGGCAAGGAAGCAAAGGCCACTCTAGGGTACGCTCTGTCTGGCCTAAGTACAAGCTTCCAGATTTCAAAACCAGGCATGAGGCTAGAAAGCCAGGGTCTTATGGCTGAGGAAGTGAGTTGCTCAGTTGTGTCTGACTCTGTGACCCCGTGCACGTAGTCCGGGTCACAGCCTAGTAGCAGGCTGCCGGGTCCTCTGTCCATGGAACTCTCCAGGCCAGAACACTGGAGAGGGTAGCCGTTCCCTTCTCCAGGGGATCTTCCCAACCCAGGGATCGAACCCAGGTCTCCCACATTGCAGGCGGATTCTTTACCAGCTGAGCCACGGGGAAGCCCACAGCTGAGGAACCTGAAGATTATGCAGTGTCATTCCATAATCACTGCAATGTTTAAAGAGGGACAAGATAGACAAAGGGCTGAATTTTGGAATTAATTCAGCAATCATGAACAGCAAAGACTGAAAAGATGTGGGCCCAGCAACCTGGTTTTAAGGAAGGTTTAAAATGCACGTTTTGAGGCTTCCCAGGTGGCACTAGTGGTGAAGAACCTGCCTGCGTCTCAGGAGGTATAAGAAACGCAGGTTCCATCCCCGGGTTGAGAGGATCTCCTAGAGGAGGGCAGGGCAAGCCACTCCAGTATTCTTGCTGGAGAATCCCACGGACAGAGGACCCGGCAGCCTATGATCCAGGGGTCGCACAGTCGACTAAAGCCACTCGGCATGCACACACACACACAAAGCACTTTTGGTGAAAGCATCTCTGAGTACAGTGGGCTAATCCACAGCTAGTTTTCTTCTCCAGCATCAAAAGTCAAAATGAGGTCAATGAAATCTACAATTTTTTATTTCATTATAAAAATCACAGAATGTTTCCCCTCAAAGTGGTGAGGACTAGTAAATGACAAAAGGGCCAAAGCAGATACCTGTGAGCACCCTGCTTTAAGTACCAACCCACTGTGTGTGTGCGTGTGTGTACACCCATGAACTACTAAAAGACGACACCGGGTAAGAAGGGGGTAAAACCAGCCAGCAGTGGAGTTGACACATCCAGCCCCGCAGGAGGCTCTGCGTCCTGAGTGGGATCCGCTTCTGGAGCCACAGAGACCCCACACCCAGTCCACGGGACAGCCCTCAACCACACCAGGCAAACTGAGTGGGAAGCCCTGGACCCACCTGTCAAGAGTTACAGATGGAAAACACATTTACTGAGTCTCGATTCCAAATCTAACCAACCAGACAGGAGAGCTCCTATAGGGTCTTTGAGGCAGACATTCTGCTGAGCAGGGCACAGAGAGCTTCCAGGAACCAGCCTTTCTTTCAGGAGCTGCTGCCAAAGTTACAGGGCCCAGGAGGGACAGCGACAACTCTTACTGAGAAACGGGGCCAGGCCCGAGCCACGTCACAGGGACAGAACCTACACAAACTGAGAGGGAAGGTGCAGAAGCGCCAGGCGGGTTGGGGGTGGGGGTCACTTCTGGTCTGGTGCAGCTTTCACTGTGTTAGAAGTAAAGACAACAAAGTCAGTTTTCTTTCACAAAGATTCACACATGCCAGTGAGTTAACCAGGTGAAGGGCTGGAAATTCTGGTCTCAAGCCTGTGACAACGATTGGGCTGGACTTGGGAGTCCTGTGTTCAGTCCCAACAGCAAAGGAAGGAAGAGGAACAGTGGTCACGGCCTGCCCAGCACGGCTCCCAGAGCTCCGTGACACGGCAGCCTCTGGTCCTCGATGCAACCACAAACACACCTGGCTCTCTCCATCTCACGGGGACGGGGCCCAAGGCACACACCTGATTCTCTCCATCTCGCAGGGGCGGGACCCGAGGCACACAGGGGTTAAGTGGCTGAAGACAGTCACACACAGGATGGAACAAGCTGCGCTGCCGCCCAGGCAGTCTGGCCCCCGAGCCCAGGTTACTGCCGGGCGCTGAGGCAGGGAGAGCGAGCCAGAGAGACAGCGGGCAGCCAGCACCGCAGGAGGGGAGCCAGAGAGACAGCGGGCAGCCAGCACCGCAGGAGGGGAGCCAGAGAGCAGGGAGCAGTAGGACCAAAGGGGCAAGCGGACAGACCCAGCAGGCAGGCCACAGAAGCCAAGGACGCGTCACCTCCACCCACAGACCGAGGCCCGGGAGACAGCAGGGACCAAGGCCACCTTTTAGTTCACCAGAAGCTAGCACAACAGCCTCATGGAAAAAGTTCACACCAAAAACTGCTTGACTGTTACACATGACTGAGCCCCCAGTGCATGAGCTGCAGTCGGGGCTCACCGCCTTCTCCAACGCCCTTCCTGAAACAGCTACTGCTCCCTGCTAACTAAAATCACCACCCCTAGGAAGTGCGGAACTCATCATGGACCACGGGATCTGTCCTCTGTGGTGGCTGGGTGTGCTCAGTGCTCAGCAGTGTCCGACTCTCTGCAACCCCGTGGACTGCAGCCCGCCAGACTCCTCAGTCCATGAGACTCTCCAGTCAAGGATACTGGAATGGGTTGCCATTCTTCAGGGGATCTTCCCAACCCAGGGATTGGAACCCCTGTCTCTTCCATCTCCTGCATTGTAGGTGGATTCTTTACCAGCTGAGCCACCATGGAAGCCCTAGTTTAAATATCCATTTCCTTATGTGAGCACATCTTGACCAGCTCCCAACTCCTCTAGAACAGATGACTTGCTTACATTTTATCTTTTAATTAAACAATCTATTTAGTATGCCTTTGATGCTATAGGTATTCAGTCAAGCTTTAATGATTTTCAAAGATTCTAATGGGAAATACACTCTGAGACTCTCCAAATTGAGTAATGGCAGCCCATAACCTTCCAGGTTCCTACCTACCCACTTCTATTCAACCAGGTATCTGAGACAGTCAAAATGTTGTCTGTGTCAGTGAAACAGCATCTTGATGGAAAATTATTGTTTGTAAAGGAAATCAGACTGTTAATCTCATTAGCGTGATTTCTAAAAAAAAAGGCTAAGAATCAGAAACACAGTGGCTAATTTAAAAATTACAAAAACGTTTGGAAACTGCAGAATCGACAGTTTAACATTTTCAGCCTAGTTTTAAAAAGATTTTAAGTTCAAAAAATTAATTAACAAGCCTACAGCTCAGCCTACGTTTAGAAGAAGTAATAGAAATAACAACCAGCAATCTGTTGGGTGTTCTCAGCATCTCACATGCACCAACTCACGCGTATAAGCCTCCCAATGCCCGAGTGAAGTCCACCATTCCAGTCCACAGAGGAGGAGCCGGGAGGGGAGTCACGTGACCAAGGCCAAACTAGTGGGGGAGCTCCACACACGCGGCCCCTGAACCCCGCCCTCTGAGTGTCCCTCCCCAGAAAAGGTGCAACAGCAGCAGCCCCAGAGCTTCTGCGTCTACAGTTTTCATTAAATTGTGCATTTATACAATCTCTGAGTATGTCTGGTTTGATTTGAAGGAGTGGCCTCTTTTTATTTCAACCTGACTCAACACGTGTCAACTAATCCGCACAGCTGCCCTAGATAGGCAAAGAGTGGAAAACAGGAACAGATAATAAAGGACAGGACTGTACTCACTTCTCCACTGGTTGACCCTTTTTCTTTCTGTTGACAGCGTCTGATCACTTCTAATAATAAGGGTCCACCCACAGTACCTTCGGCTTCAATAATTCCTAAATCTCGGGCTAAATTCTCTCGACCTTCAAGACCTTGAAACTGGGAAAGAAATAAGATGTAAGAAAGTAAAACAGAAATGCACAGAAATATAGCAAAATTATTTTCAGAGGCGAAAGAAAAGTATTTTCAAACTTAAAGACATCCCTAATCTCAAAGACATCATGTTTCTAATGTCTCCATTTTTAAGATTATACATCTCCATGTTTAAAGTCCCCATGAGCAGGTGCAGGCTAACACTGGAACAAACTTACTCTTCAATAACAATTCTGTCAAGTTCTGTGAAGCAGGGACACTGGTGCCAGCTGTCTAACAGCTCAGATGGCATTTAAGAAACTAAGACATAATCAACTATAAAAAATAATCTTTATGCAAGACACTCTCAATTGTCCAATTTTGTTAACTTTCAACTTGTAATGAACCCATCTGTGTCAAAGGCGGTTTCAAGGACAGACATTAAAAAGCATCATTCTTACTGTGCTAGTTTCAGGCTGAAAAACTGCCAAGGTAAAGTCAAGATTAAAAAACTGAAGAAATTCGGCAACGAGACTGGCCACCAGCCGGCCTGCAAAGAGCAAAAGAGAAGGTGGGAGAGGATCTTTAGGAACCCAAGGCCACGTCACCAACACTGGAAGTAAGATGGCTAAAAGGAATAAAGTTTCTCGGGGTTTTAAATTACAATTTCTTCTCTCTGAATAATACAATTAAGGGATAAATGTCTCAGTCTCCCTCATTAGGATTGTCAGTCTGAAACAATAAATAAGACAATATGACGTTCCATAAATGGATTAGACTATTTTGCTTATAACTTTACAGTACATCAGCTTTCTGTAATAAAACTGTCTTTAACCAATAATGTTCCATAGCCAAAGATTTTCAATAGCAAATCAACAGTTGTACAATTTAAAATGAGAACTTCTAATAATTGACATTTCAAAAAATAATCTGAAATTCCTGACTTATCTCAAATGGAATCAAATGGAGTCAAGATTCAAAAATTCAGAGACAGACAAAATAAACAACAAATATCTTACCATCTTTTGTATTTAAAAACTTTTTCAGGCTCTCATTAACTAAAGGAGTTTTGTTCTGTTAAAAAAATGAAATATCATTAAGCATTACATGTTCATCCCCAAAACCACTACAAAATGTAGACTAAAATTTAATTTTTTGGCAAGATATTAAGTAAAATACTGTCACACAAAAAATCATGGTTAAACCCATTCTGTACCTACTGATTATTACACGAACTGTTTTTTTGTTAAGGTAAGGACTGAGATACTCAATTAGGAGATTCGTCCTGACAGCAGCAAAAGAAATTTTTAGATGTAATAGTAATGGATTTTAAATGTTTATGAATTAGAGGGTCCCTGGAGCATAAGGGACTATGAAACCATTTCTTCAAGTGTTTCCAATTTCCCCTAAGAAAAGGGATCGATGAGATTTAGTACTGACTTCAGAGTTCCTATGATAACTTTCTTTAGGTTACTCCAAAACTCTAAAATATACATGAAAAGAGGATAATCTTGACTCTCCCCTAACAGTAAAGGAGCATAATCTTTAGTTCAACATTATCCCTGGCTATACACTACTATAAACAGCATTTCAGAATGGTTTTTCAGCAATTAGACCTTAAACGTAAATGAATATGGTCATTAAAGTTTGTAGATTTCATACCTCTACTTTTTCTTGCTCCTCTAGTGCTAAAAACACAGCTGCCCGGAGTTCAGCCTTTAAGGGGGGGTGGGGGAGGAGAGGAGAGGAAAAAAAAATTATCTCCAGACAATTTTCATGGCAAGAAGCACAAACACCGAAATTTCCAAAGTCAAAACGAAAACCAGCAAGATTCTAATGCTCAGGAGGCAGGTGCAGAGAGAGGTCAGAGGGCATTCTGAGACACTCTGAAGAAAGTGACGCCAGCTCTCAAGTCCACGGTTCGCGCCCCTGGCACTGTCGCTCTCAGCACCCGTCTCTGCGGCTTAAGCTGGGGTGTCCAGTCCTTAATCATGCCCACCAGTACTGGGAGTGAATGAGAAATACACTCCAAGAAACAAGCCGATGGACATCCACAACCCGCCTGCTACGGCCAGCGGGAGGGGCTGGCCGACCGGCAGCTCAGGCCAGAGGCGGGGGACGCCCACGGAGTGGGGAACAACTCGACCACCGGACTGTGGGCGACCGGGCCATCGGAGGCGAGGCGGGGACCACGGAGGAGCAGTGGACAACTGGACCACCACCAAACGTGCGGTGGGGATCAGAGGGGACAGCGAGTTAGCTGGACCTCTAACGTGCAGGGGCTGTAGGCGACTGGACCCCAGACGCCGAGGTCGGCGTCCTCCGACTAAAGCCAGCAGGGCCCCTTCGTCCGCTCACCGCCGCACCGCCCGGGGCTCCCCGTGACTGACCCCCGACCCCCGCGCGGGCCGCCCCCGAGGTGGCCGGCGGCTCTGACCCCGGCCCGTCCGTCGCGCCCCGCGCCCCTTTGTGACGCCCGCGTCCACACGGGCCCCGCGGCCCGCGAGCGCGGCCCGCCGCCCGCCCGCCAGCTCCCCGTCCCCCGCCTCACCTTGATGCGGTTCAGGACCCCGCTGTTCTCCAGCGTCTGCACCAGCAGGTCCCGCAGCTCCGTGTCCTCCTCCGCCACCACCGCGGCAGCCGTCGCCGCCATCTTGCTTCTCCAAGACAACCGCCCAAGCCGCGCCAACGGCCGCCAGTCGCCTCGGCCCACAGGGCGCGCGGCCGAGACCACGCCCCCGGCGCCGGCGCGCAGCCCGCCGTCACGCCGGGGCGGGGCCTCGGGCACCGCGGGGTGGGCGGGGCCTCGGGCGCCTTGAGGTGGGCTGTGCGTCGCGGTCCCCAGAGGCCGGAGGCTTGGGGGGCCACCGGTGGAAAGTGGTGTTCAGCCGGGAGGCAGGAGGAGATGGCGGCGTTTGGAAGGTGTCAGGTGCACGCCTGAGGGTCGCTGCTGTGGAAGAAGGGCTGAAGTCCTGGGTCCCCCAGTGGCTTCCCAAGGTGCGGCCGAAGTGTGTGTGCAGGACAGGTGTGTGTGCACGCTCGCCGGGAGCGCACACCTCCCCGCGCCGTGCACTGGAGGGTGTGTGGACGTGCAAGCGCTGCGCTGCGGTGCTTTCCACCCTGCGTGTTCGCACAGCTGCGCTGTCACGTGTGGAGGAAGGTGATCCCAAACCACTAGCAGTTCAAGGGGAAAGCTGTAGATTCTAGAATCCCCGGACTCCCGCTCGGCGGGTCTGCAGCCCGTCCTCAGAGTCGATTTTCCCCAGGAGCCTGGGGGCTCCAACGCTCTGGTCTGCAGGTGACCCTCTGAGATACAAATGAGTGAGAAAGGAAAAGGCACGGTTTCCTGGCAGGTCTGTTCAAACTGACATGTGCCTTTCCAGAAAGCCTTTTACATGTGGGTATGTTACATACACATAGTCCTTTTTTCACTTCCCTAATTTGGATGCTATGCTTACTACCTTTTAATTTTCTAACTTCACTTAATAAATCCTGATCATTTTTTTGACAGGTACATAAACATTCTGCCTCTCTTTTTAGCTCCTATGTAGTATTCTCTTTAAGGATGTTCACAGCTATTCTTTGTAATTAGGCTCTGATTTATTTGCATTTGTTTTGTCTGTTATGGAAGTTACTCATACCAGTGGTTGAAAATCAAAAGAAAGGGGGAAATGCTAAAAGTATCTACATCCTCCCTACTCACCTAGGCCTCACCTGTTACCATACCCTACTGAAAGTGAAAGTCACTTGGTCCTATCTGACTCTTTGTGACCCCATGGACTATACAGTCCATGGAGTTCTCCAGGCCAGAATACTGGAGTGGGTAGGCTTTCCCTTCTCCAGTGAATCTTCCCAACCCAGGGATCGAACCAAGGTCTCCCCCAGCTATTAATTTTGTTTTTAGTTTTTTTTTTTTAGTTCTTCTGGTTCTTTTCAACTCTAAATAGCCTGACCCATCAACCATAAAAAAATCTTTTCAAAGAATAAAAATTCATCTTTTCTTTCAACTACTAATTTTAAAAATTACATACTTTTACTAATAGTGGAAGATTTTGTGAGTTTTAAATTATTTACCTAAGTCATTATTTATAAATTTACATATTACCTATTGGCTCCCTGCAAAGGTAGATGAGGAAGTTAGTGTATCTATACTCTTTTCCACCCATGTTATTAGTTCAAGTTTTATTTTTATATCATCAAGAACTTGCATTCCCTTCTGTACTTAAAATTACATTTCAAACTTTGTTCGTAATTGATGGAAAACAGTCAGCAGCATTCACAGTATTTGGGGTGTATCAGGTCTGTAGGCAGAGCCCACATACCCTTCAGCTGAACCTTTTCTGCCCCGGGCCAGCCTCCAGCTTTGGCTTTTTTAGCCACCAGAGCCTTGTCTGCCTGCACTGGGAGAAGGCCTGAGGTGCCAGGGGATTTGTCCCTCCTGAGAATGCCTGCAATCACAGACCGTGAACAGGGAGAGTGCCTGCAGCCACAGGCCGTGAACAGCTGAGGAACCCAGCTCTGTCACCCTGGGGGCAGGAGACACATCTCAGGCGTGTTCACTAGCTTCCAGTGTTCAGGTTCAAGTTCTAGTTAAATGGAAACAGGCTTTATGAGTTTCCTTCACCGCCTGGTCCAGTGTCCCTACTATCTGGTATTTCCTGGGATCCCCTCCCAAGGCCCTCAAACCAAGACAGTCCCCCCAGACTGAGTCATGCGAAGCAGACACAGGGATGGGGTCTGGAATTCGGTTCCTCATCAGTCAGATGGCAGCGAGGACGCACCGTGGTGATAAGCGGGGTGGTGGTAACCCTGGAGAGGTACCACAGCTTCGCGGTTGTGACCAAGCGGGAAGGAGGTACATGAGGGGGGCGGGTGCTGACTTGTGCAATCCCTCCAACATTCGGGGAAGTGGGAGGAATGGTAATTTTAAAGACTGTGGAGTCAGTTTGCTTTTTTCTTTTAATGATAGAAAAATGCGGAAGGAAGAATACGACAGCCAACCATCAGCCCAGAGTGTGTACCCGTGAAATCACTTTGGTAGAAAACACTAAGGAAATGGGCAAGTACATAAGTTAGAGCTTAAGGGGAAAAACCAGTTGTTAAACACTTCCTAGCACACTTCCCTCCCCTTCCCTGGGCTTCCTGAGTCTGAGGATTTGTTGTGGTGGTTGTTGTAAAGTCACGAAGTCGTGCCCCACTCTTTGCAACCCCGTGGACTGCAGTACGCCAGGCTGCCCTGTCCTTCACCATCTCCCAGAGTTTTCTCAAACTCTTGTCCATTGAGTCGGTGATGCCATCGAACCATCTCACCCTCTGCTGCCCCCTTCTCCTCCTTCTTTTCCTGAGGATTTCAACTGCTTGTTAATTCTCAAGGCCTCCTGGCCTTTCTAAGCCTCAGTTTCCTCAGTTATAGAGCGTTAACCTACCTCACAGAATTCTGTCATTTAAAGTAACACAGACGAGGATCTGGTCTGTTGGCGGGGGCGAGATGAACGTGGGCAGAGGGAACCTGCAGGCAGTAAGTAGGCCATGGTACACATCTTTATTTGGCCTCGGCAGGTCGGCAGCTGAAGTTCCTGTTTCAGCTGAGTTAAGCTTCTCCATTTTTATTCTTTTAGCAGCTTTGGAAGGTAACTTTCTAAGTCACTAGGGTATAATTTCAATTGCTGCTGCGTCGCTTCAGTCGTGTCCGACTCTGTGCAACCCCATAGGCAGCAGCCCACCAGGCTCCCCTGTCCCTGGGATTCTCCAGGCAAGAACACTGGAGTGGCTTGCCATTTCCTTCTCCAATGTATGAAAGTGAGAAGTGAAAGTGAAGTCGCTCAGTCGTGTCCAACTCTTTGCACCCCCATGGACTGCAGCCTACCAGGCTCCTCCATCCATGGGATTTTCCAGGCAAGAGCCATTGCCTTCTCCGAATTTCAATTACTACTCTATCAAAAAAGTTAATATAACTCCTCACTTGCTCCCAGGGAGTCATTTATACAGTAGGGGAATTTACCTTAAAAATGTATGGGTGTTTCCTATCGTAAAGTCCATAGAGTGGAAGCTCTGTTAAAATATTCATTTCCTTCAGCACTTTAACACAGAAAATGTCACTATTTATAATTTGTAAACGTGGGATTTTTAATGTTGTTGTTGTTCAGTCGCTAAGTTGTGCTGACTTTTTGCGACCCCATGAATTGCAGCACACCAGGCTTCCCTGCTTATTTTCATAATTAAAGGAAACATACTATTACATTTTCTAAATATCCCAAATAACCCTTAAATTAAGCACAAAGAAATGGGAAATGCATTCTTACTTGATTTGGGAGATAAGAGAGCTATTCATGTATTAATTTTCATATCACCAAAATTGATGGATTAAAGGCTAAAAAATACTTGAAATAATAAAAAAGATGCCCTTAGATGTGGCAATTATATGCTCACATTTAGCTTGTTCTTGTACTTACTAATTTAGCTTCCATGTTCTATTTAAGAAAACCAGTGCACAGTTGATGAGTTTGCATTGTTTAATTCACCTCCTTATAAGAGTTATTCAGTTCATCATAATTTTCACAGCTTTACTGAGAAATAATTCACATATCATACACTCATCCATTTAAATCATACAAGTCAATGATTTTAGTACATCTGCAGAGTTGTGCAACATCAGCACATCCTAATTTTAGAATATTTCTGTCCTCCCTAAAGGAAACCCTCACCCATTAGCAGTCACTCTCCACCCCACCAGCAGCCCCAGGCAACTGCTGATCTACTTCAGGTTTCTGCATTTAGCCTACTCTGGTCAATTCTCTACAGATGGAGTCACCTTTTGTGCCAGGCTTATTGCTCTTAGCGTGATGCTCTCAAAGTTCATCCATGTTGTAGCTTGAATCTGTACTTCATTTCCTATTACTATTAATATGCAGTAATATTGCATTGTATGGTTATAACTCGTTTATCTATTCATCAGTCAGTGGACGTTTGGATTGCTTCCTAGTTTGGGCTATTATGAAAAACACTGCTATAAACACTCATGTACAAGTCTTTGTGTGAACATATATTATTCACTGTATTTCTTTTTTTTGTTTGTTTGTTTGTTTTTTCATTTATTTTTATTAGTTGGAGGCTAATTACTTCACAACATTTCAGTGGGTTTTGTCATACATTGACATGAATCAGCCATGGAGTTACATGTATTCCCCATCCCGGTCCCCCCTCCCACCACCTCCCTCTCCACCCGATTCCTCTGGGTCTTCCCAGTGCACCAGGCCCGAGCACTTTCTCATGCATCCCACCTGGGGTGGTGATCTGTTTCACTATAGATAATATACATGCTGTTCTTTAGAATCATCCCACCCTCGCCTTCTCCCACAGAGTCCAAAAGTCTGTTCTGTACATCTGTGTCTCTTTTTCTGTTTTGCATATAGGGTTATCATTACCATCTTTCTAAATTCCATATATATGTGTTAGTATGCTGTAATGGTCTTTATCTTTCTGGCTTACTTCACTCTGTATAATGGGCTCCAGTTTCATCCATCTCATTAGAACTGATTCAGATGAATTCTTTTTAATGGCTGAGTAATATTCCATGGTGTATATGTACCACAGCTTCCTTATCCATTCATCTGCTGATGGGCATCTAGGTTGCTTCCATGTCCTGGCTATTATAAACAGTGCTGCGATGAACATTGGGGTGCACATGTCCCTTTCAGATCTGGTTTCCTCGGTGTGTATGCCCAGAAGTGGTATTGCCTGGTCATACGGCAGTTCTATTTCCAGTTTTTTAAGGAATCTCCACACTGTTTTCCATAGTGTTCACTGTATTTCTTACTGACACCTAAAAATAAAGACAATGTGACCAAAAAAAAGTGAAAAAGGACCTTGGGCTCGGAAGTGCAGAAGTGAGGGTGCAGAGGGACTTCCCTGGTGGTTCAGTGATTAAAACTTTGGGCTTCCACTGCAGGAGGCATGAGTTCAATCCCTGATCAGGGAAGTTCCACCTGCTGTGATGTGGTCAAAAAAAAAAAAACAAACTGAGCATGCAGACAAGATGGACTTGAGAGATGTGAAAATGCTATAGAAACAAACCCTTTAATTAGATTTTGATAATAAATTCTGGAGCTGGACTAGGGGAAATGCCTTCTGACTTCCTACTTGCATATTCTTGGCATAGAAAGTCCCTGTTTGTTTAATATTAAAACACTGAAAATGTATATTGACTCATGGGGCTCCTCTTTCCATCTGCACTTGGGAGTATTCATGCTTTCATTCTCGGGGTCAGCCATCCTGTGCTTCAAAGAGTCAGGATAATTTAGACAGAGGTGGGGGGTAAGTACAGTGCTTCGTGACCTGTGAGCTCTCATAAATGTTTCATAGATTGTTCGAAAGACACTGACATCCTGGGAAGGGGAAGCCGGGCTTCCCCTCCTGGCATGTTCATCACATTACTGAAGCTACTTCATTCATTATTTCAACGAGGATTTACTAACCAGTTTTGTGTCATGGTTAAAAGTATGGACTTTTAAGCCATGTTGAGTTCAAATCCTCTTACTAGTTGAGCTAACTGGGGGTTCCTTAATCTCGCTGTGCCTTGGTTTCTGATTTGTAAATAGGGTCAAAGTCTTCAATGTGTGGGCATATGTATAGTTAGAGGGATTGCTTAGATCATACTGAAGATCTGAAACACAGAAATCACGATAAGAATATTAACTATTATTAGTTGTTCTATACAACCTCATGGTATTTTTATTTCCATGATTTGTTATTGTTTAGTCACGAAGTCATGTCAGACTCTTTGCGACCCCATGGACTGCAGCCCACCAGGCTGCTCTGTCCGTGGGATTTCCCAGGCAAGAACACTGGAGTGGGTGCCCATTTCCTTCCTCAGGGGTTCTTCCCAGCCCGGGGATCGAACCCACGTTTCCTGCCTTAGCAGGTGGATTCTATAGCACGGAGCCACCAGGGAGGCCCCCTTTTCCATGATCCTCTGAGCTGATTTTTTTGTGTTTGTTGTTGTTTTTAGCTCATTTTATGGATGAGACAAGTAATACTCGAGAAGGTAAGCAGCTTGCCCACAGTCATATGGCAGCAACGATGAACAGTTCAAGTCTACCTGGTTTGCACGATACTTTATGGAAATACTCCTCTCAATATTTATATAACGGAACTTAATTAAATCAAATGGAATTAAAGAAATAGAGGAAAAATGGTTGGATGAAGAAGATGCGGAGTGCGGGCAATAGGAAAGGCGCTTCTACCATTCACAGCCACTAGGGGGCGGCGTGCACCAGAACAACGTGCAAGGATCGCATTTTTCATTTTCATTAATCACTCAAAGATATGTTAGCTAATCCTATCATGGGGAGTTAATGGACTCCCCACTTAGCTGATGGCTTCTAATTAGATATCCTTCAGTCCTGAGAACAATATGAAAGTGGTTTTATTCTACCCCAGGACTCCTCTGAGGTTTTTTAATTTAGCTTTATAATGCTTAGCCCTCCTTATGAACTTAATTATCTTGTTGCTAAGTGCGTGTCTACGCATAAGTGATTGATACAAAAAGCCATCGCTATGGTACCCTATCAGTGTATAGTACATTCAAACCTTGGAAACTTGCATTCTTTGTGTTTCAGAAGCTTCTTGAAGAGCTGAGATTTTTAAAAATTACTGTGAATTGTTGTTACCATTTTGATTCATTATTTTAACCCCTTAGTTAAATACCTTTGATGCTGAAGTTCAGAATTTGATCACTATATCAGAGCTATGATTAATTAATTAAAACCATTAGATGTAACTGAAGGAAATAGAATTTAATACTATTATAGAAATTAGGTGGCACTAGTGATAAAGAGAAATCTGTATGCAGGTCAAGAAGCAAGAGTTAGAACCAGACATGGAACAATGGACTGGTTCCAAATTGGGAAAGGAGTACGTCAAGGCAGTATATCGTCACCTTGCTTGTTTAATTTATATACAGAGTACATAATGCAAAATGCCAGACTGGATGAAACAAACGAATTAAGATTGCAGGGAGAAATATCAATGACCTCAGATATGTGGATGACACCACCCTTATGGCAGAAAGTGAAGAGAAACTAAAGAGCCTCTTGATGAAAGTGAAAGAGGAGAGTGAAAAAGCTGGCTTAAAGCTCGACATTCAGAAAACTAAGATCATGGTATCCAGTCCCATCACTTCATGGCATATAGATGGGGAAACAAGAAACAATGGAAACAGTGAGAGACTTTCTTGAGCTCCAAAATCACTCCAGATGGTGACTGCAACCCTGAAGTTAAAAGACACTTGCTCCTTGGAAGAAAAGCTATGACCAACCCAGACAGCATATTAAAAAGTAGAGATATTACTTTACCGACAAAGGCCGTATATTCAAAGCTATGGTTTTTCCAGTGGTCATGTATGGATGTGAGAGTTGAAGCATAAAGAAAGATCAGCACCAAAGAATTGATGCTTTTGAACTGTGGTGTTGGAGAAGACTCTTGAGAGTCCCTTCAACTGCAAGGAGATCCAACCAGTCCATCCTAAAGGAGATCAGTCCTGAATATTCATTGGAAGGACTGATGCTGCAGCTGAAACTCCAATACTTTGGCCACCTGATGGGAAGAACTGACTCATTGGGAAAGACCTGACTTATTGGAAAAGACCTGACTCATTGGAAAAGACCCTGATGCTGGGAAAGATTGAAGGCAGGAGGAGAAGGGGACGACAGAGGATGAGATGGTTGGATGGCATCACTGACTCGATGGACATGAGTTTGAGCAAGCTGTGGGAGTTGGTGATGGACAAGGAGGCCTGGTGTGCTGCAGTCCATGGGGTCACAAAGAGTCGGACACAACGGAGCTACTGAACTGAACTGAGTGTTAAAGAACCCACCTACCAATGCAGGAGACATAAGAGATCCTGGTTCTATTCCTGGGTCAGAAAGATCCTCTGGAAGAGGAAAGGGCAACCCACTCCAGTATTCTTGCCTGGAGAATCCCACGGACAGAGGAGCCCGGCGGGTTACAGTCTGTGGGGTCACAAAGGGTCAGATGTGATTGAGATCATGTGTGTGCATGTGTGTGTGCACACACACACACAGAGAAATTGATACTATTATAAGTCCAAAATGGATGTGAATTTATTTTCTAAACATGGGTGAGACAGAAAATTAGGCTGATTAAATTGGTGAATCTAAAAAATACACAAGAAGAATAACATACACAACATACAAAGATCAGGATATACTCACTGAAAGAAATCCTAGCCTCTTAAAATACCTTTCATATGTATATGTGTCTATATACATATACCAACCTCTTCTTTTTGCTTTTGCCTTTTCTTATACTCCTGACTCTAAAATAGTGGTTCTCAACTGGCGATTTTGCTCTCCTTGGGGATATCTGCAAACATTCTGGTTGATGGGGAGAGGGCTCCCTGCTCCTGGGGTCCTGTGGGTGGAGGCCAGGGACGCTGTGAAACATCCTTCAGTGCCCAGAGCACCCCAAAGCAAGCATTGTCGGGCTCAGAGCATCAGTCAAGCCCGTGTTGAGACATCACATTGTAGAACAACACCCTAACCTCAGTGTGATGTAACTGCAAGTGACCAACCTTGTGACCCGCCCTTTGTAAGTTTTCCAGTCCAAGTTAAATTCCTTTTGCCTCTTAACACAAGCCCCCTTTCTCACCGGCTGAAGCCACTGCCAGCTCTTAGTAGCTTTGTGTTCAGAACCCGATGAAACTTTGCCCAGTGAGACTCTAAAGCCAAAAGGAAGCAAAATAATTTTGCTTTTAACAGAAAAATGTATGTGGAACAAGTTATTTTTTAAAATAGAAAGGTATTCACACATTCATTTTATTATAAGAAATTTTAAGGAAAATGTTACAGCTTTAAGAAAGGCTACTTCAAGTTGCTCTGAGAGCCTTAGACGGAAGATCTGCTTCCTCTGTGACTTTGCTAAGTCAGCAAAGTATCCGCTTCTTAACCGCCGACAGCATATCAAGTGCCAGAGGGTTCTGGTTTTGGTTTTCAACTTAAAACTTACAGAATGTGACAGACCTACTTACCCAGATTTAGCAATGGTCACCATTCTGTTGTATTAACTGTATCATTGTATCCATCACCTGTCAGTGTCTATCTATATATTGATCAGTTCATTGATCTGTTCAGAACCATTTGAGAGTGAGTAGCAGACACTGGGTCCGTTTCCCCTCAAACACTTCACTGTGGACTTGCTGAGAATAAGAACTTTGCCCCATAAGGTAGAGAGATTCTCATCAGGAAACTGACCACTGTTACGATACGACTGTCGGCTGGCATGCTGGTGGGGTGAGGGCTGGGCCGTCCTAATTCCTAACATTTGCCGATCTCCGTGGTGTATGGCTCACTGGGGCTGATTTTAAGTTACCAACAGCAACAACCGGTTTGCAGGATTCCTCAATGTTTCAGGATGAGTCGTGAGCCAGCCAGGCCCCTCCTCACTAGTTTCTACCATTGACGGTCAAACTTTCCAGCTGCTCCGAGCGTATCCCCAGCAGCAGACTTTATTCCCAGCTCAGGATTCAGTCCGCAGTCATCACTGCTCAAGTCCCCTCGCTCTCCCATTATCCAGAGTGGCTCCAGCCTTTCTGGTCTGTCATGACATTGCTGGTTTGAAGAGTACTGGTTAGATCTTCTGTAGAATGTCCTTTAATTAGAATTCATGACATCTTAGATTTAGATGATGCATTTTTGGCAAGAACACCACGTAAGTGCTGTATCCTCGATTCATCATGTTAAAAGCATTTGGTGTCAGCTTGTCCCATCACTGGTGATGCAAAGTTTGGTCACTTGGTGCGGTGGTCTGAGTGTTCATGTCTTCCCCCCCAAATTCATACATTGCAATCCGGACCTCCACTGTGATGGGGTTGGGGTGGGCCTTTGGGAGGTAACGGGAGCCATGCCTTACAGGAGACCTGAGGGAGCTCTCCAGCTCCCTCTCTGCCCTGCAAGGATAGCTGGGAGACACGCGCAGTCCACCAGGCGTGGGAGAGGCTCTCACCAGGCGCTGACCCTGCTGCCCTCATCCCGAGAAAGTCAGTGTCGTTGATGAGCAGCCAGTCGACGGGACTTTGTCACAGCTGCCTGACCTCCTGGTTAAGTGGTGTTTATGAGGTTTTCCATTGTCAAGCTGTTGCGTTTGCCCTTGCAACTAATAAGCATTTTACGAGGCTAGACAGTGCAAATATCTTCATTCAGCTTTTTAGAATGTATCTAGTTTTACTTGGAGAATAACTGCTTTACAATACTGCGTTGGTTTCTGCCCCGCGCCAGCGTGAACCTTCCGTAGGTATACACGCACCGCCTCCCTCTCGAGCCGCCCTCCCGCTGTAGGTCGTCACAGAGCACCGGGACTGAGCTCCCCGTCCCCCCGGCTGTCTGTCTCACACGTGGCAATGCCTGCTCTGCTTTCGCTTCGTCCCACCCTGTCCTTCCCCAGACCGCGTGTCCACACGTCTGTTCTCCACGTCTGCATCTCCACCGCGCCCTGCAGACACATTCCTCAGTACCATCGATCTAGACAGAAGTGTCCCTATACAACCTTGTCTTTCCCCTTCTGACTGACTTCACTCGGTGTAAGAGGCTCTATCCTCTGACTGACTTCACTCGGTGTAAGAGGCTCTGGGTTCGTCCGCCTCATTGGAACTGATTCAAACACGCGTCCTTTTTATGGCAGGGTAGTATTCCACTGTCTGGATGTGCCACAGCCTCTTTACCCGTCCCTTCACTATGCTGTTCTTAACTTTAGCATCTGGGAGCCATCCTCCAAAACGGCCCCAGGGACCGCACCGCTGGCCCTAACGCCCCGCCTCGCCGCGCAGGAGGGTCCGGTGTGCAGCCTAGGCGCTGGGGAGCCGGGGCAGCTCGCCTCGGGCTGGGTCCCCAGGAGGGCGCCGTCTCCCGCCTTGCTCTCTGCGGTCTCTGACTCTACAGAAGCCAGAAAGTCGTGCCCCAAAATAGCTGAGAATGGTAATCTGATATTCTTAAAGAGATGGACGTTAAAATCAGCCAAGGGAAACCACACAACCTCACGTGTGGGGCGCTCTCCTGCACACACCGCTCGAGGGCCACACGGACTCCAGGAGGAAGAGACGCTCCCGCCACTTCCCTCAGGCATCGGTGAGGAAGGAGGAAGCTTTCTCCCCTCGCCTGGCAACAGCTCAGCCAATGAGAGGCTCTCACGACTCAGCCAATGAGCAGCCACTCTGCTTCAGTTCACTTCCTCTAGGGGACTTGCTGTCTACTGCGGTCCCCACTTCCCTTTCCCTCTAGAAGAGTTCTCTCTCCTTTGCTTTCCTGGGCTTGCATGTGGTTCACCGTAGCTGCCTGTCTCAAATAGCAAGCCTTTGCTGCTCTTGAGTAAACTGGTTTTGTTGGTAAAATAATTGGCCGTTTTATTGTTTTAGATTAACAGCAGACATAAAGAATGGCATAAGATATAGAAAGCAACATGTGTCAGATTTAGAAAGCTCAGAAAGGAAGTGACAAACTCAGTGAAGAATTAAAAATTGTATGTGTTAAAAAAATAACCCAAGGGCAAATGAACAGAACTAATAATGCATAAGAGAAAGAAGTGAGAAAAAAAAATACATATTGATAGATATGTAAGGAGGTCAGGATAATGGGTACCCAAAGTTATCCACAAACTAAACCCCCAGAGCCTGTGTGTATGTTTCCTTGTCTAGCAGAGGTGATTAAATTAGAGGTCTCACAACATCCTGAATCAGTTGGGTGAGTTTAATCTAATCACTAGGCTTCCCAGGTGGTGCAGTGATAAAGAATCTGCCTGCAATGCAGGAGATGTGGGTTTGATCCCTGAGTTGGGAAGGTCCCCTGGAGGAGGAAATGGCCACCCACTCCAGGATTCTTGCCTGGAGAATTCCACGGACACAGGAGCCTCATGGGCTACAGTTCATGGAGTCACGAAAGACTTGGTCATAACTTCACTACTGAGTGGCTGAGCACAGTCTAATCACATACATCCTTAAAGGTGGAGAATTTTTTCTGACTGTGGTGAGAAAGATGCAAATACGGCAGAAGTGAGAAGTAAACAGAAGTCCTAGCAGAACAGGTGCACAAAAGGGTGAAGAAGATACCTGTGTATCCTGGAATGGAATGATAGGGTGATTCCAGAGAGCCTAACATAGTAACCACCCAGTATCCTGATAGGCCTGGCCATTTGAAAACAGCAATTGGTTTTGTTTTTCAACATAATTCTTTTGGTGAGCCTAAGAAGAAATGATAGAAGATTACTAAATTCTTAACTCTAGTAAAAGCAAACATTGGACAAGAAAGAAAGAAGAAATAGAATCATGGTATACAACATGTCTCACGGGGAAAAGTACTTATATTTTGGTATAAGGTAAATTAGCATTGTTTTAATTCTTACTGCATGGCAGGAAAGAGGAAAATTTGGGAAGATGATTAAATAAGCCATTAAATCTTTATCTTCCATTATTGGGTGACCAGGGAGAATGTCTTAGAGTGATCCAGGGAGAGATGTAAGTATAAACAGTCAGAATGAGGAAGCTAAGTATCTGCAGAAACAGCAAGAGAAGTTGAAAGAGGCTGCTTCTGGGAACTATTCATGAATCACTTAGGTAGGAAAAAATTAAAAATAACTTTAAAAAGTGATAAGTAAAAGAAATTTTAAAGATGAACATTTTTATTAGACAAAATATGCTGTAAGTTAAATTTTTCATTTTACTTTAAAAGTATTTTTTATTAAATGAAGCTATCGCAATGCATGACATAATTGTTATACTTTTAAATTTGGTAACTTCTTATGTTTAGTACATATTCTATAGTAAATTTCGTGTGGCAGACACTGACCTCCAAATATTATTTTTATTTTTTTAGAGTATTAGTCTGGCACATAATCACTCATTTCACGCAGCTTGAAAGACTTTAATGTGGGGATTTGATTTAACATTTTATATAGGCTACCCAGGTGGCTCAGTGGTAAAGAAACCACCTGCCAATCAGGAGATGCAGGTTCGATCCGTGGGTCAGAAGATCCCCTGGAGGAGGAAATGGCAACCCACTCTAGTATTCTTGCCTGGGAAACCCCATGGATAGAGGAATCTGGTGGGCTACAGTCCACAGGTCACAAAGAGTCAGACCTGACTTATCGACTAAACAAAGCAACAAGAGATTATACTTCTACTTTGGGCGAGAATTCTATGCCTGCTTTTCAGCATTGTGCCCAGTATCCTACGACAGCTAAGACGTGTGAATTTAATTACATGGACAAAAAAACAAAAGATAAAGTTTTGTGTTTCTAGATTTTTATTTTTAATTGTATTTCTGTTTACTAAAGTAGCATGTGGTAATTATAAAATATTCAAAAATAAAATAATTTTTTTCAGTTTTCTCTAAGCTTTTTCTCAATACATATATTACATGTACAAATATATGTTTACATCTATATTTAAAACATCATTATTTAAGACAAAACATTCTTAATGGGAGAACCTCTTGAATATCATTTATATTTGGTCAACCCCACAAAAAAGGGATGTAAGGTTGCAAAGGAAAAACTTAACTTGCCTGAACCTGGGTTTGATATTTATGGCTTCTGATATTAGATCAAGAGCTACATGCTACATACACCTAGATGCAGATAGACCTCATGGGGTCCTAAGTTTTCCCAAACCTAAAACTAATTGCCAACTGTTAGGTTTTCTTGGGCTAGTTTGCTATTGCCAAAATTGAATTCCAAATTTCTCTCTTAGATCTAAACCTCTATATGTTTATTCAACAATAACAACCCCAACCCAATTTTATGGGAATAAGTGGATAACATGGCTTTCAAGGCCTTAAAAGAAAGTTTGATGAACCTACCCACCCTTCAGTTCAGTCGCTGGGTCGTGTCTGACTCTTTGCAGCCCCATGGTCTGCAGCACACCAGGCCTCCCTGTCCATCACCAACTCCCACAGCTTGCTCAAAATCATGTCCATCGAGTCAGTGATGCCATCCGACCATCTCATCCTCTGTCGTCCCCTTCTCCTCCTGCCCTTCACTCTTTCCCAGCATCAGGGTCTTTTCCAATGAGTCAGTTCTTTGCATCAGGTGGCCAAAGTATTGTAGCTTCAGCATCAGTCCTTCCAATGAATATTCAAAATTGATTTCATTTAGGATTGACTGGTTTTATCTCCTTGCAGTCCAAGGGACTCTCAAGAGTCTTCTCCAACACCCCAGCTCAAAAGCATCAATTCTTCAGCGCTGAGCTTTCTTTATGGCCCAACTCTCACATCCATACCTCACCACTGGGAAAACCATAGCTTTGAACATACAGACCTTTGTCAGCAAAGTAATGCCTCTGCTTTTTAAAATGTTGTCTAGGTTGGTCATAGCTTTTCTTCCAAGGAGCAAATATCTTGTCATTTCATGGCTGCAGTCACCATCTGCAGTGATTTTGGAGCCCCAAAAAATAAAGTCTGTCACTGTTTCCATTTTGTCCCCATCTATTTGCCATCAAGTGATGGAACCAGATGCTATGATCTTAGTTTTTCTAATTTTGGGTTTTAAGCCAGCTTTTTCACTCTCCTCTTTCACTTCCATCAAGAAGCTCTTTAGTTCCTCTGTTTTCTGTCATAAGGGTACGGTCATTTGTATATCTGAGGTTACTGATATTTCTCCTGGCAATCTTCTTTCCAGTTTGTGCTTCATCCAGCCTGGCATTTTGCATGATGTACTCTGCGTATAAGTTAAATAAACAAGGTGACAATATACAGCCTTGATGTACTCTTTTCCCCATTTTGAACCAGACAGTCCATTATTCTATGCCAGTTCTAACTGTTGTTTCTTGACCTGCATAAAGATGTCTCAGGAAGCAGGTAAGGTAGTCTGGTATTCCCATTTCTTTCAGAATTTCCCACAGTTTGTTGTGATCCACACAGTCGATTATCACATTCCTCACTGTGCATGAGAAGGCAGGGAATGCTGTTGGGTACTTACTGAGGACGCGGGGACCATCAGTTGACCCATAATATTATTACAGCCTCAAACTAGAGCCTCTGGCACAGAAACATCTCCTTGCCTCACAGCCGTCGTTGCCTTTGCCTTTTGGTAAAGGCCACTGAAAAAATCCCAGTGGCTCCCTTTAACCATTGTTGTTCCCCATGTAGCAGAATTCTCACCATGCTCAACATTTTTCAGCCCTCCCCTCTTACGGAGTCATATTGTTAACTGCCCCACGTATGATTCTTTGTCACAGTAACTTTAACCTAGCTACTTCTCTTCCGTCCCACACTGACAAAGTACCTCATGAGTCTTCAGTGCTGATAGACTGCCTCCTGAGTCCTGTGATAACCTACAGGAAATTTCCCGGAGTGCCAGCTAATGTCTCGTAGCCCATGGATGGTTCAGTTAAAAGATGATAATGGCAGATTCTGTGTCCTGTGTGCCGTTACAACTGCTTTTCATGCTGTTTGTGGCAAGAACAAGTACCTATGGCTGCTTCAGCTCAGCAGACTGAATGGTACTTTAGCCAAGGACAAAACTGCAACATTTACACTGATAGTAGTAATGCTTTTGAAGTAGGTCATGATTTTGGAACTTGTGAAAGCAAAGTGGCCTCCTTACTTACAGTGGAAGTAAAGTTTAAAATGGCCCCTATGTTCAGGAATTATTAAATGTAATATTGTAACCTACCACTTTAGGTATTACCAAGATTCTGGGGCATTCTACACCTGACCCTCTGGAGGCTAGAGGACATCTCCTTGTTAGTATTTCTGCAAGGAATGCTTCCCGTAAAAGGACACAGAAGCCAAACCTTGGTCATGACCTAAAGGGCTACTTCTCCCAATGACAACTTAGTAAAACTGGCTAGAGAAAACCAATAAGTGGCCTTAGAAAAGGAAAAATAAGATTAGAAATTAAATAGTTGTTAATTTGATAAAGAAAGGTCTGGTTCAGACCAA